CACATCATAAAACAGATTAATTTTTCAGCAGTCACTGAGGACTTGTTGGATGGATCCCTACCAATACTTAGGGTTTCTTTCTGTATACCTATAATACATATAAAGCTTTAGTGAAACTCTGAGGATTAGAATTGTAAGACAAATAAATTATGTGATATTCAGACTGAATGTCACATTATAGTCAGTATGAGATAGTATTCACGAATAATAGAATAAATGTGTGATCAAATCTACAGAACCTTACAAAGTGGATGACACTAAATGGATGATATCTGCTTTGCAAAAGGCAATTACTGGAAAACTGATTGATCCTATGTTATATGTTTTCATCTTTTTTTACTACTTACAGCACTTGCACACATAAAAACACTGTTTTATTATGTGGCTTGTGCTCCCTGCAGAATTTCATTTTTCAATGGTTGTTTACCAGAAGAAAAAAAAATGTTTGAGTGTGCTTCTCCTAAATGATCGGGAGCTGACAGTGTTTTCTGCTGGGTCCTGATCTCTCTCTCTTTCTTCACCCCTCCATCTTTCTGTCCCCTCGATTGCCCATCTCTCGCCCTCTCTCCCCTGGGCTGGACACTTTGTCCTTGCACTCTCCGTCTCCTCCTCCTCCTCCTCCTCCTCCTCCTCCTCCTCCTCCTCCTCCTCCTCTCTGCTTGGGCCCAGTGTGAGTGATAAATTATTCGTGGGCATGCTCTGAGGGCCCAGGGCTGCTCATTCCTGCACACAGAGGACTAGCATTGATCCGGCCTGTGGTTCAACTTAATTGGAAACCCAGTTACACCAGCTACAGACACACTCCGACACACACAAACACAGCGCACACACGTAGATGCACAAGCATGCGCTTCCAAACATGCCATCTACTGTAAAGCGGCATTAACACGCACATAGTATGCAGTATTATATAGTAATACACCCGTTTATAGGTGCATGGATATAACAAATGTCAACATAATTATGCAACACACACACACGCACAATCCCCACATGCATTCATGCATTAAAGTGTTACAGAATTAGCATCTGCCCAAGTATCAGCTACAGTATGTATGTTTTATGGTTGCACATATACAAGCTGCAGTACATAATACAGGATTGTGCACACACAGCTACTATATACATACATAAACACACACACTCCAACAATAAAACTCCAGAATTCACACACGTGCATGATCTGTCACACAAGGACAAGAAGATGGACACAAACCTGTGCACACACACGCACTTTATAGTCACTAAGTCTGCATTCTAAGCAGCACTAAAGAGGAGTAACAGTCCACAGTGGAGCAATATGGAGGCCCAGGGTTATCGATTGGACTGAGACACTGACTATCATACAGCTAATAGATTACATCAGACACATCGGAGCGGCTCAGTCAATGAGGCCTGATCCTATTAACTGGGGATTTGTAAACAGTTGTGTGCTCACTGTGACGGCTGCTGTGCTGCTTTGTGAGCCTTGGCGAGGGGATGGAGGCTGTAAGGGTCTGAAGGAGGCTCATATATTGTAGCACTCTGCCCTAATTCTCCCATGAGCTAACAGCACAGTGTTCATGTGTGTGCTGGACAACGTGCTTTAATTTTGTTGTCTGTGAAACAGTGATGTCAGCTGTCTATCCTTCAGAAGACGCCAGTGTCTGCAATTATAATTTTACAGTGATTAATGCTTTCACAGAGTGAGATAATCCATGACAGGAAACATGATGCCTTCACTGGGTTTTGTCAAAAGTTTTTGTGTTATTTCTTCATGCATGAGTTGAATGGATGATTGATGGATGAGCTATTTTGTAAGATACATGTCAGCTTACAGGCTTGATCAGACCAGCATTTAAAGCAGTTTTGGAGGGAAACAGATTCATTTTCGATGTGAAATAGGGCTATTCAACTTTGGGTTCAATTTTGGCATCCTTGGAACAGGCCAATTTCGAAGCAGACATTTTGACTAGTAATAGTAGGAAAACATTAACAATGGCTCTGCTCTGATCAAGGGTCCAAGTAAACCATACCAGGGCCATGAAACTGAAGCAGTTTTCCTCCTACTGTCACAAACCAAGACGTCCTCCTATGAAAGGCCTATGGAAAACTGAGTCCCAAAATAGAAGAAGCTATCATATTAGCAGTGCTCCACCACCACCTTTATATAACCCTCCTGGAGTAGCTGCAGTCAGTGAGACATGACTTGATGGAAGTACATATCTGTTGTCTGTTTAGCAACCAAACTATTGTAGATGGCTAGCAATAGCATGTTCCCGGCTGGCTAGCATGTTAGCTCGCCAGCTATGCCCGCAAGGAGACACCCCCAAGGACACTTTAAAGCCAAAATCTTGAATGTTTTTAATAGATTGTTCTCTTATATCTTTTATTAATTTTAATATTTTGTGTCGTTTTAGTCATTTTAAACTGTTACTCCACACTACTGTAAATGAGGGCCTCAATTATTTCTCTAGTTTATATAAATACAAATAAAGATATGGAGGTGTGGAGTGAAACCATGAATATGGCACATCTACCATGGTAGGAGGTGCTCTTTATACCCCAGTGACATGCCAGTGACAGTAGTTGATCAAGTGTTTGGGAGTTGCACATCTTGACATTGGCATTTCATCACTTTAGCCTTTTGCATATTGAACAGAAAAGTGAAACAACTTGCACGCAGCACACCCTCCATAATCTGCTGTAATGTGATGTATTTTAGTCTAAAGGCTCCTTTTCATGTGCGGACAGAGGTTAATATCAAGCTTCTAAAAATACTGAACAAAGGTTTATATTAAATATAATCACATGTAGCATGTCATAAATAAGTAGGGGAATTACTCAATAGCAATGACAACTAACCCTGAAAATCCTTTGCTTTGGCATATGTTCTTCTCCTTGAGCTGCATACCAAATTCCATAAATTGTGGTTTTGTGCTTTCTTGCAGCCAAACCAAAAGCGACAGTAGGAGAGAACACATGGTCTATTGATACAAAGAGGTAGTGCAGAGAAGAAAAAAGTCCACCTCTAGTTAACAGCTCAGTTCATCTTAAGTCCATTACAGCATAAGCAATACTTCTATTTAACCAGCACTATGGTAGATGCTGGTCGTGGGGTTTTCAGATTAATTTCGTGGCCTAAACCTATTCACATGTCCCTTCAGGGGCTGTGCGGCAAAGAGGAGTGAAAACATTAAGGGAGAGAGAGAGAGATAGCGGTAAACTCAGTTCTCAGCCAACAGTGTGTTTTTAAGAGCAAAACGACTTTTCCAAAATAAATAGATCTGTGTCGCGGACTGCTAGGAGGGAGAAAAGCCCTCGGTTCAATAATTAATTCCCGAGTTGAGGGTTTTGGAGAGCCGCTGATTGGGCTGATTCTTTTTTTTATTCTGTTATGATACAAAGGAGGCCGTTTGAAGTAATTTGTCCCAGAGAGAGCGGCTTGGAATACCATACATGCTTTGATTTAGCAAAGCAAATTTAATTTTGTTTGCTTTATGCAAACCAGCCGGGGCCGCGGGGGTTTCTCTCATTCCACCAGAGGGGTGATGGTGGTGGTGGTGCTGATGATGGAGGTGGGGGAGTGCACACAACAGAATCACTCTGCTGCCGCTAATATATAATACTGAACTCACACTCATGCACACAGACGCATGCAGTGAGCAGCAACAGTTCAAAAGTACAAAGCCTATCCCCCTACACACACACACACACACACACACACACACACACACACACACTCCAATCCCTTTGAAATCAAAGCTTAAAATAATTGTTTGTGCGTTGTGTTTTGTTTCATTCTATCCGTCTATTATTAGTGTTACTGGTATTATTTCTATCATGTTGTTTTAGCTGCCTGCTCTCACTGCTTGCCGGGGTTTTGTTTTATGCTGCTAATGAAAGCTTCTCTCCTCGCTTTTGTTCTCCTTCGCTTTTTTCCAATACGTGAATGGAATACATCTGTTTATATCTGCGCCTGATTTTTCCTGAGATTCCTTACACTCAACAGCACAATAATGAAGAGGCTACTTGTGATTTACTTCTTTTTTTTTAAGGGCTTTTCTTCACATCTTTGTGCAGACATTTGCCATACAGCAAAATTATGCAGATATACCTTAAGGTGGCTGAACAGACATGATGTAATGCAGTTATGTCATGATTATTGGGAAAAATGAAGTCTAACTGTGTTGCGCACCTTTAATTACCATGGCTCTGTTCCTCTGTACTGGAGAAACGACTGTACGTGTACAGATGTTAAGCAAACAGTGGAGGCATTTCTTCTCAGAAAGAGAAAAGGCAGTTCAGAATGGGTGGCCAAGCGGTTTTCCTATACTCCATTCAACTCATTTTCTTAGGGAACAATAATGAGTGGATAAAGCAGAAAAACCCAATTTCCTTTATGCTTTTTATATCCTGAAAAAGCCCTCGTTGACGACCCTTTGGTCTTTTGTTATAGAAAACTGAGCTAATATCCTCCAGCTCTCGGCGCAGTTTAAAGGTCTTAATTGGATTCCATTAGTATATTGCTTGACATGACACTTGAGTCCGCTCTATTAGAATTCCCCTGCCTGGGATTAAAAAGAATACTTTTTTCTACATTCAACTCTCTAGGCTCTTTTGTTAAAGTCTCAAATATTCTTTGTTGGATTCACAGTTTTTTAGTGACACCATTATACAAACCGTAAGCTTGACTTAAACAGGTGCTTTTATGTCTAGAGGACCTGCTGTAAAAGGTATGACAGTGTCTCATCGCAGCGGTTTATGTATCAATAAACTTTAGCATTAATACAATATAAGCATTACATGTGTGCCTGATGGAATATGCTGTAAGTCCCATAAAACAGTCCTTCAGCTCTTTCTGGAAGACAAGACTGGAGTCCATGTTGAGCTCCCTGCAGGTTTCTTTTCAGAGTATCATGCAGAGTTGAAGTGTTTCCTCTGTGGTTTCAGTCAGTGTAGAACACGGGCCAAAAGAAGGATGCTTTTGATGATATTCTGTTTCATGTCTCTTGCCCTAGTCCTAACCTGACGTGGAGGGATGTTCAGCATCTCATTGCCGAGACAGCAAAGATCCCTGACCCCAAAGAGCCTGGGTGGAACATCAACGGAGCAGGATTCCATGTTCACCATAGGTATTGTGATACACCCATACATCCATGTAAATACTCCTATGGTTCTGCCAACATTCTGCCCACTTTTTTTGTGTTGGGGCTTTTATTGCCTTTAATCAATAGTGAAGAGTGACAGGAAGGGGAGTGAGAGAGGGAAAGAGGGGGTGACGAACAGCAATGGGCCACAGGTCGGAGTTGAACCCATGGCCGCTGCAGGAAGGGACAGGGTGCCTCTCATTCTGCCCGCTTTAAGTGAGGCTTACATGTAAACCAATTTATTAGTCAACCAGTTGACACATGAATAGTTCTTTAAAAGCAAAGTTAGATACAATGCTTGACTAAAACCCTCTATAATTTGTTGTTATGCCTATTCAAGCAACACGTGTCTAGTTTTGGTTTTGTCTCTTTAAAGAAATTACAGTTACTTTGGATGTCTGTACAGTAAATAGAGGTTACAGCTCGCAACTGCTTAAAAAAAGACTGGAACAAGGCAAAACAGTTAACCTGGCAAAGTAAAAAAAAGGTTAAATCCGTACAAAAACCACAGGGTGAAACAATAACAAGTTGCGGTCATATGGGTATTTATGTGCCGAGGAACCAGCAAAGACTTCAGGAAGTTACTGCTCCCTGCCAGGAAATAGTTCGGAACATAACCCCTGTAAAATATAATTTGCCAGGCTAGCTGTTTCCCCCTTGTTCCAGTCTTTCTGCTAAGCTAAGCAATCTTCTTATCTAACTCTGTAAGAATGTGAATAAGCATATTTCCAAGTGTCAAAATGCTCCTCTAACACAGGGGGGGGGTTTACTATCATTGCTTTCATTAATTATGTGTTTGTAAATAATCTCTAGTGTAACAGTTTGATGGTACACTTTGTCAATTTTCCCCTGTAATATCTATCGGCTGTGAGTCTGTTGTAAACCCGTACAGTAGTTGCTGTCAGATCCATTAAAAAGTTATCATATTTGAGTGTGTCACCCTGATAAATACATTGTTTACCTTTTATTAGGTGAACCTAAATTCTACATGTTTAGATTCACATCAGTTGTTTCTTCATTTCCAAATAACTGTTGTGAAAGTAAGTAGTCCCATTGCTTGTGCTGTAAAGAACTCCAAAAAACCCCACAGATTCTACTTTATAAGTGATATCTCTCAGTATGCGTGATAATATTATAAAAAAAAAATATATATATATATATATTATTATGTTTTTTAAATCATGTAAAGGAAGGAGTGGTATGGATGGCCGGTAGTTTGAGATCCTAGTTCTACAGTGGGGAGACAATAGTTGTGATTATGAAATGTGTGATTACAGTAATTCTCCCTATATGATCTCCAGCTGGGATCATTCTTCAGGTAAATTAAAAAATTCAGTTATACCTGCAAAATGTGCCATAAGTGTTTATTTACCAGCCACTGTAACATAAAACAGTTTAAAATAATATATTGAATTTTAAGTAAGGTCAAGCCAACGGCAAGAGATCAGGTGTTACTTATTACAAGTTTACTCGTGTAAACAGTCTACCATGAATCACACAGGCGGCGTCATCTTCAACTGCCTCACTACTGTATTTGCCACGTGCACACACCACTTTAATGTTCACACACACCTACACACTCTCCTCATATAAAGCATTTCAACCTGCAAAAAGCAGCTGTTTTATGACAGTTGAGACAGGTGATCTTGTCCAGAGAGGAGTGTCATTGTAATCCTCTAATGTTATTATCACACCCACAGCGTGTCTGAGTGTCCGTACCTGCTCTGATTTATACAGACAGAGGCTGGAGGAAATGGAGCCTCTCCCTCTGACTGTATGAAGCATGAATCTGGCAGAGAGAGAGAAAGAGAGAGGGAGAGCCCTGTGCTCCCCCAGACATCGTATAAACGCTTTTACAATGCTTTTACAATGTCAGCCGGGCGATGACATATCCGTAATCAGTCATAGCGTTTGTGATGTTTTTCCTCTGCTCTCTGCCTCACTCACCTTAAGATTTCCTCTCTTCATCCTGGCTCTAGCGCACTGTCCTCACCTCTCTTTGTAGGTCCTTTTCCTATCCTCCCTCACCCCTTCTTCTCCCTTTTCTTGCCATTATTCCCCCTCGCTGTGTTCCCATTTCTCTCTTCCATCCCCTCTTTCGCAGCATGCCGTGTCATAAAATAGATTGTAATTACTGTGTTGCTGTGAGAAGAATGGATTAATTAAAATATAATGATGCCGATCACACCAGCGGGCGTCTGTTGAAATCTGTCCATTTAGGGGCTCTGGCAGAGGACTTGTAATGCCCAGATCATACTCAGGCTAATTATGAAGAATGGTTTATTGCATGGGCAAGGACGGATGGACTAGACAGTGCAATGAGCACAGGGTCACTTACCATCAATGAGGTTGTTACAATACATTAAACATTAGATATGATCTGTAATGAGAGGATCCATGTTTAAGAAAATTGAAGATAACGCTGACTGCTTATAGGTTATAGCAGGAAGTTAGTGATGGATTGGATTCTATACTTGCCAGTTTTTGGCTTGATTCATCAGATTATTCAATATTTTCATGTATGTAATGTAAGTGTTTTTTTAAATGTTGCTGTTTGACTCAGGGGTGATTAAACCTATTCCCTAGAAAAGTCCTCAGCCACACAGAAAGAACTGTAGATCACATTAGCAGTGATAATCAACAATACAAATTCTACAAAAAAGAGCGCCACCTACAAATTCAAATTTCATCAAGAGAAAATTGAGCAAAAACATACCACAGTGCTGATAATTATATTCATGCAGTGCAGTAACAGCACAGAAAATGAGAAAATGAAACTTTTGCTGTACAGCAGCCTCTGTTACGGTGAAATAGCTCAACACACTGCAGCATGAGAAAACCCATGCACATAAATAAACCACATAGCACCTGTGTCACCTATTTGACAACACATATATAAAGAAAAAGGCTGCATGAAAACAAAAAGTCAATAGAAAAGCTCTGCACGTCAAGTTCAGTTACAAGTTTGTTCATTTGGACGTTTTTGTGGGACACATACTGATGAACACATGACAGACACTAGTAAAAGCCTAACGGCAGGTATACAGCCAATGTGTCTAATAATATCAGAGTCAGAACGTCCAAACTCAAATAAACACTGTTAGTTCATTTTCAAACATTATTGACAAGTGGTCGATATATTCATCACTTGTCTTTGCTTTGACTTCTTTGTGTTTTCTGTATTAGCAGCACATTTGGTAATGCTACACTGGTGGATGTGAAGTTGCAATGTATTAGGCTCTCATGGCTGCTGTACACTGTGGCCTAAGGCACAGTTAAAGGAAAAAGGTGTGTTTCCCAGCATCAACGTGCATTTGCATCCCAGATGGGCACATCCTGGTGACTGTACCTTGACTTCTTCCTCTGACTGTGTGACACGTCTCACAGCCAACTGACTCAGTAACCCTGTACAGCGTGGGTTTGCAACCTGTGGCTCCGGAGCCACATGCAGCTTTTGAGCCCCTCTCCAGTGGCTCCCTGTGGCTTCGACAAAAAATTATATTGAATTGATATTCTTAACATTTTCACTTATCATTGTTGTAAGCCTGTGTGATCCAATTGTATTGTCAAATTGTAAAAATGTGTAGCCATTACACACTAAATTAAGAAAGGTTTTAACATTTTATTACCTCGAATGTGACAACATGAAATCATATGTTGCATTCTGTCCTGACGCATCTTCCTCTATTTTTTGCTGAATCTTAACAGCAGTGGCTACTAGTCTTCAGTCTCCCTAGCAAGACTCGTTATAGACCCCAAATCAAAATAAAAAAAAGAAGAAATGTCTCAGAGGAAAGTAGAGAATTTAATGTGTGGACAGATTTTTTTGCTTTCACAACAAATGCTGCTGGCTTACTTGGCAAAATACGTATTATAAAGCTCAAGTATGTGACTCCAGACAGATGTTTTTCATGTTAAAGGTCGTTGACCTCTGGTATACGGCAATCTACCATCTACCTAAAGTTAAAATTAGCTACCGTAAGCTGCAGGTGAAAGCAGATCCAGTAACTGTAGCAGCAAAAGCAACAACATTTTATTGCTTATGAATTCAAATCTGTAATTTCTTCTTTCAAAAGTTACATTAAAATGGTCAAATAAATGCTGATGTGGAGTATAATAAGTTTCACAGGGAATTTTGTGGATTAAGGACAGATGGTTTTGGTGAAAGAAGCACGGCTTTGTAAAAGCTGAAGGAAAAATAGCTGCCTTAAAGATGTGGGGGGAATTGGCATTGATGTGTGTGTTATGTATGTTTATGTGTGTGTGTTGGGGGGGTGGGGGGGGTTGTCGGGTGGGTGGAAGGGGTCGCCCGCATCCCAGAGTTCCCATCTGTTTGACCTCCATATAGACTGGGAGCCTTTAGAAACTCTGATATTGGGGAGCGACCTCCCCCCTCCACCCACCCCTCTCACCCTCAGCTCCCACCGCCATGACGACAATAAACATGTCAGCCGCCACACGCCAGAGCAATCTGCAATCAGATTTACTGTGCATGAAATATGGTGGTGCTTTTATTGGTCCAAAGACTTGTCACTCATAATTTATAGGCTGTTGCCAGGCCCGGCTGTGATGTCAGCGAGCTCCCAGCACCCTCAGGAGAATCAGAAGGGGGAGAGTGAAAGAGATAGGGGTGAGGGGTGGTGGCTGCGCGGGGGTTTAGAGATATAAGAGGACAGAAAATGTGTGTGTGTGTGTGTGTGTGTGCAAGAGGGAATGAGGGAGAAAAGGTGATGGAAATGGGTGAAAAGAGGAAAAAAATAACACGCATCCATCCTGTTCCTCTCTATGGGGAGTTTATCAGGTTGAAGGAGTGAAAGTGTCAGTTTTTTTCCAGGGCCTGTACAAATGGATCTCCCTCTCCTCTCCTCTCCTCTCCTCTCCTTTCCTCTCTCCTCTGCCGTTGCTCGCTATGCTTTGAACACTGACACCTATTGATCACATGTTTCGACGAGGGGGTGGTGGGGGGGAAATTAATCTGCGATTCA